TGCTCCGAGCACTCCGCGCGGCGGCCGCAGGGGGACAGCACCAGGCTCGGGTGGGCCGTGCTCGGGTCCAAGGTCAGCTCCACCGCTGCAGGAGAGACCCACCCGTAAGGCCCCAGTGGGCTAGCCTCCCGCGGGCCTTTTCCCACAGCCAACTCGTGGGCCAGCCTCGCGTCCTCTAACCTCCCAGCCCCTCCTGGGAGGTGACAACCCCCTCTGCGTCCTGGCTTCTGCCAAATACTGTGCTCTCTGAGCTGCAGCTTGCTCGGCTCTGAACTGAGGCCATAATTGCCTCCTTCCAGGGTTGTGGGTGGATCCAGTCGATACAAGGCATATAACTCACTATCTAAGGCCCAGGTTACAAAGGAGGAGACGGTCAGGACGCCTAGTCCTCGGCCAGGCCCCATCTCAGGGCTGTGCGGCCTCAGTCAGTCCTGACCCAGTCTCTGGGCCTTAGTGCAGAGGTCCCTCAGTCCCACCTCCCGCCAGGCAGCGAGGACTACACCGCCATGTGTACATGTCCTGGAGCTCTTTAACACGCACCTCAGTGACTCTAGCGCTTGGGGAGAGGAGGCTGAGCCTTTGGGCCACCCAGCCACAGGCCAAGGCCAGTGCCCAGGGTTCCAGCTCCGCAGACCCTGAGGCCCCAATTAGCAGGGATTGTCATCTCCACTGTCAAGGATGCAGAGACTGGCCAAGGAGCACACAGGGTTCAAACCCAGGCCCAGCCGCCCCTGCTGCCAGCAGCAGCAGGACCCTTCTTGTAAGCAGCGACCTCGCCATGTCAGTCACCCACCTATAAATCCCAGGCCCTCAAAGGTCCTTCTCTTAGCACAAGTACAAGGGTGCAAGGGAAAGCCTAGAGGTAAAGGGGCAACAGGCACCTTCTTCGGTGACCTCTTAGCTGAGATTGGGAGGCCTCTCTGTGTGTGGCTGTGGCCTTCCACCAACCACAGTTGCCAACATAAACCCAGAGTGAGCCCTCCCAGTACCTGGCATCAGAGCACGGAACATCTTCCGCCACACCTGGAATTTGAAGTCATCTGAGATGACCGGCAGCTGGATGTCCAGGCGGGCAGGCGGTGGTGACTCTCCCAGGATCTTCTGCAGCCTGGGGGTGGCAAAGTGTGGGGAGGTGTCTATGAAGAGACTTCCAGGGGAGGCGTGGGGGAGGGGGAGGGCAAGAAGCAGTACCCCAAAGAGAGGACAGGGCTGTGGCAGAGTTCCAGGATCTCTCCACACCACACTCTGGCTTAAAACTCCTCTGCTGAGTTTTCAGTTCAGAAAGATGAAAGATGAAAGGTTGGAGCTTTGTCTCCTACGCCAAAAGGCTGCAGGTTCAATCCCCACTCAAGGCAAGTGCGGGAGCCAACCCATTGATGTTTCTCTCTCACATCAAGGTGTTTCTCTCTCTCTCTCTCCCTTTTTCTCTCTCTAAAATCAATAAACATATCCTAAGATGAGGTATAAAAAAAAAGATGAAAGGTTCTGGAGATGGATGGTGGTGATGGTTGCATAACATGAATGTACTTAATGACTCTGGACCTAAAATGTGCACTAAAAAATGGTTTAAATGGTCAATTTTATGTTATGTACATTTTACCACAAATTTTTTTAAGTCTTTTGTGGGGGCGAGGTCCAAGCCCATCAGCTCTTCAGTTTGCCCCCACCTGCCACACCAGCGTCACCTGTGCTCCCTCTTTGCCTGCAATGCTCTTGCTCCAGCTCTTGGCCTGGCTAACTCCAGCTCATTCCTCCAGCATCCAACTCTGCACAGCCTGCCCTGGCCACCTGCTTCCCCCCCCCCC